TCCTTTAGGATACCAACTTAAATAAAACTTCCCTAAACCATTATTTATGACAAGCTCTAAATTGGAGGTATCGTGTTTTCAAACATATTAAAACATCACAGGAATGCAAGCTGCATAAACATTTTTATTCATAAGAATGGTAAAATAGCCCTAGCTGGTTTGGCTCAGTGGATAGAGCATCAGCCTGCGGACTGAAGGGTCCGGGTTCAATTCCAGTAAAGGGCACATGCCCGGGTTGCAACTCAATCCCAAGTAGGGGGCATGCAAGAGGCAGCCAATCAATGATTCTCTCGCATCATGTTTCTATCTCCCTCTCCCTTCCTCTCTGAAATCAATAAAAATATATATTTTTTAAAAATAATGGTAAAATATCATCTGGTATTGATTCTAAAATGAATAATTAGTCACTGCCATAAAAACCAATCCATAGTTCTGGGTTAAGCCAGCAAAATGTACACATGGATCTAATACTGCCCCACCCCAATCTCCTTTGTAACTGCAGCAAAGAAACCTTTTTAAAAACTATAGGCCTGGGGTGGAGGAGGGGGGAGGGGGGGTGGAGAGGATCAATGGAGGAAAAAGGGGGACATATGTAATACTTTCAACAATAAAGAATTAAAATAAAAAGGAGAAGTGCTTTGTAATTGGGAAAGCTTTATAAATATACTAGACGCCTGGTGCACAAAATTCATGCATGGGTAGGGTCCCTAGGCCTGGCCGGCGATCAGAGCCGATCTGTGGGGCGACCAGCAGGGCGATCAGGGGGCCTCCACTGTCACCCGCCTTGGCCGGCCTGGCGCCACCCACTTGCTGCCCCCCCCCCACCATCGCCAATCACGACCCTCTGCAGGAGGCAATCAGGGCATTGCCAGCCGGCTCGCTGCCCCCCGATCGCGCCGCTGCCTCCAGTTGCCTCCCTCTGTGGAGTAATGGGGAGGCGATCAGGGGCCCCCGCTGGCACCCGCCTTGCTGGCCTGGGGCTGGAAAGGCTGGGGGCACCT